CCCCCCAGATGAGGAGGCATCGCAAGGCCGGCTGCTACAAAGCTCCGAGCTTGGCTGCATAGATTTTAATGAGAACGTCAGGCAGAGCTGTGCTGTTGCTCTCCGGGACTTGCAGATCATTACCAAACCAGCTGTAGGATGAGAACACAGCACATTGAAACCCTAGGAGGTCACTGAGCTAATGATCTAATCCTACCTTCCGCAGGCAGGCAGTGCCCCTCCCCACCTCCTCCTGCCCCCAGACCTTTCCACGGTGGACTGTCCATTCCAGAAGCCAGGCCAACACCACCCCCTTCAAGGTCAGAGCAGAATGATAGCAAATGGCACTGGCTCTCCCTTTTTCCAGAAAGGAGGGGGATGGGGTAATTTAGTCAAAGCCATTAGGCCCAAACCCTGCCTGGCCAGGCCCCAGGGCTCCTATTTGGGAGAACCACTACCCTCTGCCTGTCACTCCAGCCACTCCTGGGCTGCAGCCGGGGGCACCTTCAAAGGCCATTTTAGGGTTCTGAAGAATGTACCTTCAGCTTCCAAAGTGCAAGGTGGGAAGCAAGGCAGGGGCACACAGCATGGTATGCTGAGCACTAGAGCCAGGTGCCGGCCATGTGCCAGAGACACCTGACGTGGGTGGGGGAGGGAGGAGGGCACTCTGGAGCAGCCCCAGCAGGAGGGCATGCAGGCCCTACAGGCCCTAGTTCAAGGAAAAGGCGGCAGAGGGGGAGCATTCAGCTGGGCACAGCAGCAGTACCCATGATTACACACTCTCCTCACGCCGGAGGGGTTTATGAGGGCTTTGGCAATTACTACAACCATTTGCTGTGCGGGGTAGAGACAGATCCTGTTTCTCTTTGTTTCAGGGCTCTGAAAGCAGGAGAAGCCAGGAGGAGCCGGTTTCAGCATAAGAGGCTACACAATAGTTAGAGCAGAAGAAACCTCACTGCTGGCCAAAGCTGACCAGTTTTTTTCTGAATAATAGCACCTGTGTATTAGCTCTGGGAAAAGGGGGGGAGGAAGGGAGGGAACATCACTGTGTGTAGTGAGGAGGGGAGCTGGAAACAAGACCCAGAGTCCCTCTGCTTTATAGCCCTCCTCGCGGCTGCCAGGCCCTCCAGGCAGCTACCTGCTACGGCTGCCAGCCTGAGGGACTGCAGTTTCTACAGTTGGCAGAACCTAAGCTAAAACCTGGGGAAATAAAATGGGGAGGAGCTGAAGAGGAATTGAAAACAGCACCTGTCAAAGCTGCCCACCCCCTTCCTTCTCTCACTACCTCTAGTCCCCCAAAACGGCAGCTCCCAAGGCCATGTGGTTGGTTGGCTGGTGATAGCAAAGGGGAAGCAAAGAATTATGAGAGGCTCTGAAGGTCTGAGCAGCACTGACAGGCCCAGCACAGGTCCTGAGCCCTCCTGCTGGGCTCCCCACCCATGGTGAGGTCTGAAGCAGCACAGAGCCAAGACTGCTCTGCCCAGGCTCCAGCAGGTACCCATTATTTGGTCCCAGAAAGCACAGGTGACTTGGAATCAGAAACCCTGGGCTCTAGCCTTGTCACGATCCAACTGTGTCATCTTGAGCAAGTCACTTCCCATCTCTAGACTTCACCATCATTAAGAGGGTAGGACCCAAGGAGTCCCACCATTCTTCCAGTCCTGCATTTCCAAGTCTCTAAGCTTGGCTCCTGACATCCAGCAGAGGCCCAGATCCCTGTGTGTCAGGGCTAGTTTGGTCATGGGTATTAGAGGTCAGAACTGGGCTATGGTGCCAGAGGCACCTGGTGGCAAGGGAGGGGCATTTAAGGGACACCCAAACACCACACTCAGAAGGGGGAGACTGGGAGGGAGGCAAACACCTCAGTCTTCATAAAGGCATCATTCTGGGCAGAGGTGATAAGGCCTTCTTTAGGGACTTGATGGGGATCCAGATACAGAAACAGCTTAGCAAAAGGCAGCCTCACTCTTATTGGGGCAGAAGGGTGCAACAGTCTGGCTCTTGGGGCATGTGGCCTGCTCTGACCTCTCAGTGCATGGGAAAGGGGCCAGCTGTGTCCATGCAGGCTTTAGGACCACAATGTGGCTGGCATTATTCGAAGTAGCTGAGGGCAAGGATTTTGGGAGAAGACCACAGTAAAAAATGGCTTCTAGGGAAAGGCACCAACTCCAATTTAAACCCATTCAAAGGGATCAGCTTTGGGGTTTTCCTTTCTCTTCAAGATGCAACAGTCACTTGAAGGAAAGAGGGAACATCTCAGCTGACCCTCAGATACTCCACGGGGCATGACTGTGGAAGGTGGGAAATACATGCTGATTTGGAGGAAGCACTTGGATATATCTTTGGTAGCTTCAGGAAGGCTTTGGCCCCTTGAAATTCTTTTTTCCTCCCCCTTCCCCCATGGAACTGTTGGGGGTAGGCATCAAAAAAGGCAGGTAAGAAGAAAAGAAAAGAGGTGGGCAGCAGGCAGGAAGAGTTAATCCGACCAGTCGTCCTCATCAAACTCAGAGGAGTCATCTTCTGAGTCACTGTACTCAACAGCAATGCGACGTGACAAGATGGTGGCCACGTCATTGCCCACGACATCCCGCTTCTCTTGTTCCTGCTGCTCCTCAACCCTCCGCAGTTGAAAGCCTGGTGGAGAGAGACAGAAGGGTTAAGAAGATGAGTCAGTCTCAGAATCCATCCAGGACTGAGGAAGGGGGAATGGCCACTGGCAGGCAGAATATGGGAAAGGATAGCACAAAAGAAGGATCCTCTGGGAAAGGAGGAAGCAAGAAAAAAATAAAGATGAAGGTTTATGAAATGGTGGCCCCAGTGCTATAGGTGGATCTGAAAGAAGCCTGCCATTCCTCCCCATTTCCAGCTCTCAGACTGGGGAGGACAGTACTTCTCATGAGTGGGGACTGGCCACTAGCCCCTACCCAGCAGGTACACAGTCTGCCCCATTCATTGATTACCACAGAGCTCAGATGCCCTAGGTTGTCTCCTCTAGACAATCCTTCAGTTCCTTGGGGATCCCAAACAGAAGAAACCACTCTAGTCCCTTTGTGCCAGACCTGGCCTCTGACAGAAAGAGAATAAATGCTCCATGAGGGTGAGATGATGATGAGGGAGGGGAAGGAGGAGGGGAGAAAAGGTGACAAAAGAGGGACGAGGGTAGGAAAAAAGGGGGAGAAGGAAATGGGTGAGAAAGAGGGAAAGAGAGTAGGGAGGGAGGAGAGGAAAGGCAACAAAGGAGGGACAAGGAGTGATAGTCCAGCTGAAGAAGTACCTTCTAGGACAGTGATTCTTGTTTTTCTCTGGGGCATGAAATGGATACACACACACACACACACACACACACACAAAGCACACATTTTCAAGGAATTCAAAGATCACAAGTTAAGAATTCTTTACTTTAAACCAGGGCGGAAAGAAATCTAAATCCCCACATTTTTAGGGTGAAGCCTTTCTTCAGGCTGACCCTAGGCCTGAGGTCCCAATCTCTCCTTATCCAATGAAAGCTACTCCCTGGGAAAGGCACAGAACCCCCCACCCAACCTCAAATCAGTCGCCCCAGCTGCAGAAAGACAACACTTCATGGTCCCAAACCCACCACTGGGGTTTACCTTGACGGATGGCTGAAAGCAGGTCGCTGCGGGCATCACTCACAGGAGGCAAGGAGGACTTGGACTTGGGTGTATCAGAAAATGGTGGTGGTGCGGCAGGCTGGCCATCTGCACCACTGTAAAGGAGAGGAGGTGGCCCAGGAGGAGGAGGGGGAGGGGGAGGGGGAGGTGCTCCTCCTGTTGGCTGGGATAAGGGAAGTGGTGGCAGAGTTGGGTAGTCAGCTGCCGGTGGTGGGGGAGGAGGTGGAGGGGCAGCAAAATCAGGGTGAGGTGGGAAAGAGGGTGGTGAAGGTGGTGGTGGGGTCACTGGGGATCCAAATCCTCCAGGTGGTGGTGGGGGAGGGACGTTTATCATCGGAGGTGGAGGTGGAGGGGCAGAGGGAGGAGTATAGCTGGCTTTGAGGCCGGGTGGAGAGCCCAGAGGAGGAGCTGGTGGTGGATGGCTTGGGCTGACCACACTGGATCTTTTGGGTCCAGCTAAGCCAGATGCCCTTTGGTTGTTGTCCACTGGGTAGCTAAAAGGACAAAGAAAAAGACCCACCATCACTTTCAGGATGCAAATACCCGCCTATAAGCCTAGATTCATTTTGGTTGACTATATCATTTCATTTTGGTTCAAATAGAAAAAAAAAATCTGGAATGGTCAGAACAGACCAATAATGAAATGGGCAGGTAAGGTAATGAGCTTCCCATAAGTAGAGGGGTCTAAGCAGAAATTGAGCAAAACTACCTAAAAGAAGACAACTTGGGATTCCTATATCAGGTAAGGGTTGACCAAGATCACCTTGTAGGTTCCTCTCAAACCTTTCAGCTCTCCAAGGAAAGTCACTCTCCTGAACCCCCCTCTAATAGGAATGGTCAGTTTAATCCTGGAGCCACGACTACAAAGGCATGCAAGAAAGAACTGGAATAAAAATTCAAACACCACCCACCCACCCTCTGTTCCTCAGGCTATTAACATTCACTAGATCTCATGAGGGCAGGAACCCAAGCAAAGCTGACCAAACCTGAGCAGGGTACAGATTTAGGCAATGGCACTTTCAGTGTTCATGTGTAAAAACTTGAGAAAGAATGGAGGGTCCAAGGGTCAGCAGAGACAGGAAATGAATGTGTCACCAGACTTGACCCGGGCAGAGAGACGATTAAGGGGCACCTCTCCTGGGTCTGGTATGCTCGGCTGTAGGGTCACAGGCCACGTGTGAGGCTGAGGGCTTCTTTTTCCACCTCTGTATCTGCCCTGCACTAACAGCTAGTCCTCAGAACAGCATCCATCTTGCAGTTTTCCACAGACCTTCAAGCCTAGCTGCATCTGACAGGGCAACTGGCAGCAAGTGATTTGGGAGGCAGAAGGAGATCTGGGATTAGTGGTTTTAAGAGGCAAGAAGAATGGGGCTGGGGATGGGATGCTTAGAGCATTGCTTCAGGTTTCCATCTGAGGAAACCTCAACATATCCAATCTCTGACTGAACAGTGTCCAAGGAGAAAAGTGTAGCAGGTACCAGAAAGAGAAAAGTAAACAGATCTGAAGACTCCTTAGAGCCCTTGTCAACCATTACTTGCTAACTCTTCCCAACCTCTGACTGAACAGTGACAAATATCAGGGGCACTGACAAATATTAAAATGAACAGATTCTAAGTTTCATCTCTCTTTTCCCTTTGTTTCATTCTTTCTGGAGATTCTATCCAACAGTGAAATGAACCAGAAGCAACAAAAGAAAAAGGTGACCATCTGCTACGTTCTTAGATAACTGGACAAGGTGTCATAAACCTTTTATGGAGAGCAAATTATACCACTTCAATTCAGGATGAGTTAAAGCTAAGTAAAATACGAGCGATAAGGTGGTAACTTCTAGCTTTTCAGATATAACTAGTAGTAAAGAACACAGGCTCTAGAGTCAGACTGACCTGCTTTCCAATCAGGTTAGACTCTGCTTTTTATTGGCTCAGTGACCTTAGGTAAGTTCATTGACCTCTCTGTGCCTTGCCATTTACTCTTACGTAAAATGGGTACCTATCTCAAGATGACCCTTGTAGGGGGATTTAGTAACATATACTGTTTGGTATAATGCCTGGTACCTTACAAACACTTGATAAAAATTATTTCAATTATCTAGACAGATTTGCCTGAAGTTATTTTAGTGGTCCTGGCCTGGATTTGGAACCCTTATTTTGTTCTTGAGTTTTTAACCACCCAGAGTGGATGGAAAAGGTATCACCATTTACCTGAATTCTGCTGGTGGCGGAGGCAAGCTGTCCTCAGAGAAGGAAGAAGGTAGAGAAGTGGAGTCTGATTGTGGTGGTGGTGGGTAGTTGCTTGCATCCATATTTTCAACAGAGCCAATACTGCCATTCTGGTACACCAAGGTGGGTGGATACCTGACAATGAACCCAATGAGAAAACTGTCAGTAAAAAGTCTGAATGTGCCCTCGCCGGTGTGGCTCAGTTGGTTGGACATTGTCCTGTGCACTGAACAGTTGCCAATTTGATTCCCAGTCAGGGCACATGCCTGGATTGTAGGGGGAGTGCAGGAGGCAGCTATCAATGTTCAGCTCTCACATCTATGTTTATCTCTTTCCCCTCTCCCGTCCTCACTCTCTAAAAAGCAATGAAATAAATTTTTCTAAAAAGTCTGAGTGATACTCTCCTTTTCTTAAAAGACCCCATACAAATGCATTTGATACAAAAGCTATTAGGAGAAATAAAACAAATGTATTCCCCATATAGTTTCTGTTATACTGAAATTTTATTTTAGGACTAAGAATTCTATTGTTACCATCTCCCAGGAATTTCTGCTGGATTGTTTGTAAGAATGGGATTCAACCCCGATTATCAAAACTGGATTCTCAGCATTGGTCTTGTCAAACCCAGCAGTTCTTTTAAATCCTCTCCCAAATGTTAGGAACAGCCTATACCCAAATCCCAAAGTCTGTCTGTGGCAAAGGGCAAAGCCAAGCCCCAAGGCTAGTGAGCTAGCTGTAAACACGTGACTGGCACACAGCCTGGTTTTGAGGTCGGCAAGCCTCTGGAGTGCTCAAAGACCAAGGAGGCATTTGACTGCAAAACCAAGCTGAGAAAATCCAAGGTGCTGCGTGGTTGTTAGATGTGGTCTCTCCGCCAGCACTCTTATCAATAACAAAATGAGCTGCCAATTAAAGTAGGGTGCTATGGCTTGCCTCATGAAAACCTGCCCCTCAGAGCACTGGGCCTCGGGTGAATTTGCTCTGAGTGAACAACAAACCTCCAAACAAGCACAAAAACACCAAGTGGCAGCTAGCAAAATGTGGCCTATCATGCCCCGCCCCCTCCACCATTGTTGGCCTCTAAAGAAAGCATCTAAAATAGACCCCAGGGAGAACAGGGTTGGAGGGAACTGAATCAAATGATGTTTTGATGTGGAAAATACTTAAGGCCTAGAGCACTATAGGCTTGGCACATCTCTTTATAGGTTCATCAACAAGCATGTCCAGGTAGACCAGCCATGCAGCCCAATTCCAAATCTCTTGGAGAACAGGGAAATGGGAGGCAAAGTCCTTATTTTCACCAACCCAGTTCCACACAAAAATACAAAATACCAACCCCACAAAATAGTTGGCATACCATGAACATGCGAGCTTTTGGCCTTAAGAGTCACTGAACCTATGACAAGGGCCTGTCTGAACAGGATGGGACACCATAGAATAAAATGGCCCTTTTGCTGAGAGGTGAAGGTAATGGAGGACCCTCAGGGCTGATTTCCCTGTAGAGAGAAAGGTTCGTTTTTCTTCTCACCATCTTCATCACTCATTAAAACAAATCTCTTAATCCAGGAAGAACAAGTGTCAGAAGTGTCAAGATTTTTAAAAGTCAAAATGTTCATGGTAGAGTTATTTCTAAATGCAAGAACAACCCAATTCTTTCCTTTTATCATTCCTAGACACCCAGCATGGGCTGGCATGGTCCTCTGACAGTCAGGATGCAAAGTATTTAGGGGAAAAGCCAGGGCGACATTCACACCAAGCAGTAGTGCTGACTTGACTTTGAATGTCACACAGGTTGGACACTAGGATAAGCATCGAACCAAGCTTTAAGACCATTTTTTTTTCCTTTTAGACCTCTAGTGTGATCTGGTATTAGGAAATGGGGTCAGACTGACATCTACTATTTCTTCATGGAGATATATAGCCTCAATACTGGCTGAGCGACCTTTCCCACACTGTCTCTGAGGCCTGCTTTCAGTCCCTTGGCCAGCTTCTCTCCTGAGACTGACAAAGGCTGACTGAAAAGTTGCTTTGGTGATGTGTACAAATTCTCTTCCTGGCCCTCCCCATTCTTGTGAAAGGCCCAGCTCTTAGGCACTACCTTCAAATCAATGTTCTAGAGGCAAAGGGCTCCCAAGACCACTTTTCTTCCCTATAGTCTTTACTTTGAGGAGCTTAGACATGCCAGTGTGGGCAGAGCAAGGGCACTAGAAGCCATGGGTTTTGTTTTCCAGACCACTTCGGTCACTTCATGTAAACTGCTGAGTCTTGACTAATTTAGCAAATTTTAATCACCAGATGGATGCACTTTAAAGTAGCTGATTAACAGTGGTATCAATCTAAGCCATACAGCCAGACTTCAGGGGGGTGTGAAAGGTATCACACTAAAGCTGTCAGACTAAGGTCCCCAGCCCCTTCAAAGAATGCTACCAATAGTAAAAAAGCATCACCTACCCAGAAGGCCCCAGCTTTTCTTTAGATTCCACAAATTCTTGTCCCATCTTCATTTTCTCCCACTCTTCCTTACGTGTCTTGATTTTACGTGGGTTTACATTCCCTCGATTTGGATTATCTTTCTTTTCTTTCTATAATGAAAATAAACAGGAAATCCTTTGTAAAACATTTTCCAAAGTTCTCCTCTAAAATTCCATCCACCTTCATGGGTGCACACCCAAGAGATGATTTGCCTAGACAACATAGTAACTACAGAATTTATAGAATTACTGCATTTGGAATGACACAGAAGTCACCTAATCCAAACCATCTTCTGAGCTCAAACACATTTGCTCAATTCCACACTGAAACACCTCTAGTGATGGGAAACCCACTACCTTTTTGGGTAACTTATTCATGTTTCTGAGCAGCTCTAATTGTTAGGAAGTTAGTAAATAGCTATTTGTTGTTCACTCTGCCACAAAGGTCAGTCGAGAGAGATGAGAAGTAATGACAGCTGTAGATATCTGGGGTAGATATAAGGAAATAGTTAAAAAAAACACCCAAAACAACCAATGAGGGTTTCTTCAGCCTGTGCAGCTACACTAGCCCCTGGCACTCTCTTGGGCCTCCTGGCAGCCATGCTAATGGGATTGTGAGGTTGCAACTGGTAGGTCATATATGCTTATACACATCACTGGGAGTCTAAGGGGAGAGGAGCATCTCCCCAAACTAGGCCTATCCCCTCAGCCCCCCACCTGCCCCCACACACACCAGTAGTGAAGGTGTTAAACTGGTCCTGTTGCAAATCAAACACTGTAGAGCCTTGTGCTGATCTCTGAGAAATGAGCTGCAAAACTGGCAGGGAAGGGACTAGCCTAGTTTGAGTGTCCAGCAGAGTCAGGTGCAAATTGCAAGAGAAATAAATGGTGAATAGAAAAGTCAATTTCTAAAACTCAGTCTGAATATACTCAATTGTTAATAGCACTGGGGGGAACAAACACATTTTTGGTGTGATTTATACTTTCATCTTGGTTGTGCTTAGAGTGGACACATTTTTTTAAGAGTTTCACCTGGCATCCAAGCAAGCAGCAACTCAGAATGATTACTTCACATAAGACTGGCTTCCTTTTTATCCCCCCTCCACAATCGTGCCTACTGATGTGCAGAACAGAGGCCCCTTTCCCCTCACCCTATGCTTTCTCTTCTCTTTCATGATATCCTTGGTGTCCTGCAGCATCTTCTCCTTCCAAAGATCAAAGAAGTACGAAGGGTCTGTGTAGAATTTGAGTGCCTCTTTCCCATCGTCCCTGGGATAGAAATGAAGACAAGTAGCTGTCAGTAGACAGATGAGCTCCTAACCAAATCCAATATTCCAAATACCTACCAGTTAGCAGTTTTTACACTCAGGAATCAAGTCATTCAAATTGATTGCATACTTCCTCTCCCATACCAGCGTTTCAATGCCCCTTGAATGCCACCTCTTTATTTATCTGGCTTTTAAAGAACCTTAGCCTTACTTTCAATTCCTGGTAGAGGAATTTGCATGGTCAGGGCAAAGAATGGGCCATAGCAGCAGGGATCCCGATTATTTTTAATGATCTGCATAGCCACAGACATCTCCTTGAGGATGTCCTGATATCTTGGCACATCAGAGGGGATTTCTGCCACTGGTTCCCTCTCCCCACACCAATTACCCTACAATCTCTAGGAAGCATTAGTGGCCTCCCACCCACCTGAAACCTGTGCAACACGTGTAGGTTCAAATGTGTACATACGTATACATATACACACATCAATGTAAATATGTGTGCAGTTGGTATTCCTCTGTGAGAACAGATAACAAGAGCACTCCACCTTCTTGCTCCCTTCTATAATAGTTCAGCATCCCCCACCCGCCCCCAGATCCCCAACCACAAGGGGGCCCCATTGAGAACAGATGCCAGATGTTTTATGACCACAAGATTTAATTACCATCTCTTAGTGGCTGTGAGGGAATAGAGTGAGTTACTGAGTGTTAAGGTAAGAGTTATCTGCCAGACTCGATGATCCTGGTTGGAATCCTGCACTTTGGCATAAGTCTCTCTCACTTTCCAGAAAGCATGTGCTTAGGGACATTTATTTTAACACTATTCTGAACTAAAAAGAACTGGAAAGGCAATTCTATGTCCTGGCTTCTAATCGTATCACAACACACAGAAAGCATTTGCAAATCAAACTCTAATGATTTTTATATTAAATCTTGTCGAGTTAGCTACATCCCTGCTCATTTCTGTTAGGCCAAATTCAGATAACTGAAAGGAGAATGTTAAAAAAGAAAAAACCATCACCTAAAAAATAAACTTGTTTTACATCATTTATTTATCCTATCCTACCACACCCTATATCACACTCCCTTCAATATTATCAGGTGTGTACTCCCTTCTGCCCTACAACTCCTCTGTAATCCAACTAAATGACAGAGCCTGCAGGGTCAAATCTCTGTCCTAGTAGCCCCTTTGAAAGCCAAGGGGCAAACATAATTTCACACAATAATAATACAGGATAGATGTCAGGTACTTTCTAGATATCTGTGTGAGAAGCTACCATGCTCCTATTCCAGGCTCCCTGATCAGGCCGCTATCCTTGAATTCCCTCCACACACATTCTACTTTGCAGTAATACCCATCTCTCACAGAAGATATCTGCCTCCAGCTATCTGTAATTACTTTTTACCTGTTCCAAAGATATTTATGGATGCAAGCAAGATAAATATTTGCTTTCTGCCCCTGCTCAGTGGTTATTTGCAGGATGATAACACTACTAGACCATTAGAGAAGAAGGGCTTGAAGGTGTCCACAAGGCTTCCTTCTTTTTTAAAGTCCAGCCACAGCACTGTAGGTCCTTTCCAAGGGGAATGCTGAAAGGATGTTCAAAAAGTGAACAATACTCATTTGGAAGAATGCCAGTCACTCCTTAAGCTTTGGAAGGACCCTCAGGGCCCAGAGCAGCCAGTCCACAAGGCTGGCCCCACTAACACGCCCAAACATCTGGTAATCTAGTGGTTTCCGAGTAAGTGGGAGCCTTGCTAGAATGTTGCCCCTGGGATACATGCTATAGGACTGCCTTGTAATGAAGTCCTTTTGGTTCTATAATAACTAAATTCCTTGGATGGAATCCAAGATGGATCTGGCTATACCAAATTCAACTCTGCAGCATGCAACACTATAGCAAACTTTCAGTATATGAATTTCAGAAACCAAACAATAAGTGACAACTGTTTATGTGGTAAATGTTCGCTTCTGCGGCCATAAGCAACTCTGGGGCTGGTAGTGAGCTTTTTGATACTATTCTCTGACGTACACAATATCTTTAAATAAAAAAACAATCTAATATTGTTAACCACAGGCCAAAAAAGGAGGAGCTACCCAGGTTACCTGTAAGGGGTAAGATTGTTGAGAGGTGGAGGAGCATCACAGGTGTTGTATGTTTCCAAGACAGGTACTGGGAGAGAGTTTCTGTCAAATAGCTTCTGGTCTTGAATCGTAGAGCTTCTGAAGGCCTTTCGGGTGTTGATTCCTTGTAGTGACACTGAGAGAACATGGAAGGCATTAGAAAATGGACGACAGGCTATTTGAGCAAACACTGAGTCACACCAGTCGGAGAGGCCTCAGCTGCTACATTTCTTGGCTGCGGCTGTCTGCAGCCAGGTTTTTTTTCTCCCTCTCTGGGGAAGCCCCACAAGGCTGTCAGCAGCCCAGCCATTTCAGACTGAACAAAATGAGGCAACACAAAGGTTTACTATGTGGCCAGATCTAGCAGGCCTCTCCTGAGGAGGAATGAATCTTCCAAGTACTTTTATGGTAGCAAAATAAGATGGGGGAGGGGGAATTTGAGAAAGAGGGAATTAGGGGAATGGGAGAGAGGGAGTGTGTGGGAGTGTGGTAGAGCTAAAAAGGTTGCTCTACACCACCCAGGCTTGTGTCATTTCAAAGCAGAACTCCATAGGTCTCTGTGATTTCTCCCCTCACTTTTTTTTATAAATCAGGAAAAAAATTCTAAGAAACTGCTCAGCAGAGCCTGCAAATGCTGAGCTCAGCTTCCTTACCTTCTTCTTCCTTGGGATCCAGCTGAGTGACTTTAACTTGTAGGCGGTCAACCCTCTCAGCAAGGGAGCTTACCCGAGAGGCAAAGGTAATTGCCTGAGTAAAGAGCTCTCCAAAAATGTCCTCTGCATATTTACCTGAAAGAACAAAGAAACCAAGTCATTAGTGCATAAAAGTGACATAAATGGTCAGAAAAACTGGCTACTAAAGATTGTATTTCCCACCTCCAAAACACCCCTCCCTCCCTCTCAAGATGGTCTGGGTTGTATGTAGATGCTTGCTACTGGAGATAGAGACATATCCTCCATAGCTGGGGCACTCTGCATATGAGTCTTCTTGTCAAACTCTAAACAGTCAGGAAACTCAAAGCAGTCTGAATAAAACTGAAAGGCATAATACAAAAAATGAATCCTGGAAGGGTAGACAATATGTCTACACATTTGCCTATAGCCCTTAGCCCCTTGATACTCTGTAAAAGCACCTTGTAAATGGTTCTGGAAAACAGACTGGAAGTTAGAAGAACCTACTAGGTGTCTACAATTAACATAAAAAATAAGACATTACATCCTCAGTGAAGCCTCAAAAGTATATTGAAACAACCATGATGAGCAGTGGTATCTTCAAGGAGCTTTGAACTTATCATCAACTCACAGAAGAGACTTACAACTTCTTCTAAGAGGTGAAAAGCTTTTTTTATGTTTTATAACCTACAACTCTGAAAGGCTTTGCTCTAGGTTATAATCCTTCAAATCTGCATCTCAGGGGGAAAAAGTGAAAAGCTGAAACTTTCAAGCCCTCCCTAAAAAAACAACATACCAGTGGTCTTTTTCCACAATGTCTTGTTTTTTAGAAAAAGAGTTCCATAGATTTCTGTACTTTCAACCCTGGGCAAGGAGAATTTGCAGCCAAAGAAACATAACAGCAATTTGACGCTACCTTCATATTGTCATTCCAAGCCACAAAGCACATTCTCGCTAGGAATAAAAAGTGGTGCATACAAACAAATATACCTATCTGAGTTTCTTACTTGCACAGTGAAGGCAGGTATAAGTGACTGTGCTCAACCAAAAGATAATTTCTTTGAGAACTATTCAAAGCGGGCTCTAATTTTTAGCTTCTAAACTTGATTTATGCTTAGTCCACACTT